TCTTCAGAGGCTAGGTCAGCTCCAGGACTGTACTGGGCAGCACAGTTTGGGGAGGAGGTGAGCAGCCAATAGTGGTGAAAGAACAGGTTAGGGACTACTTAAAAAAGCTGAACGTGTACAAGTCCATGGGGCCAGATGCAATGCACACGAGGATGCTGAAGCAGTTGGCTGATATACTGGCCAGCGGCTCTACAGTCATCTTTAAAAACTTGTGGCAACTGGGAGAAGTCTCAGACAACTGGAAAAGGGCAAATCTAGTGCCCATCTTTAAGAAAGGGAAAAAGGAGATGTCAGGGAACTACAGACCAGGCAGCTTCACCTCGGTCCCTGGAAAAATCATGAAGCAGGTCCTCAAGGAATCCATTTCTAAGTACTTGGAGAAGAAGGTGATTAGAAACAATCAGCATGGATTCACCAAGGGCAAGTCATGTCTGACTAAGCTGATCACCTGCTATGATGCAATGACTGAAAGAGCAGTGGGTGGGATATATCTTGACTTTAGCAAGACTTCTGATACGGTCTCCCACAGCATTCTTGCAAGTGAGCTAAGGAAGTCTGGGTTGGATGAATGGACTGTAAGGTGGATAGTAAACTGGCTGGATTGCTGGGCTCAAAAGGTAGCAACCGATGGCTGAATGTCTAGTTGGCAGGCGGTAGCAAGTGGAGTGCCCCAGGGGTTGGTCCCAGGGCCGGTTTTGTTCAACATCTTCATCAGCGATCTGAAAGATGGGATGCAGTGCACCCTCAGCAAGTTGGCGCATGACACCAAGTTGGGGGGGAGTATTGGATATACTGGAGGGTAGGGCCAGGATTCAGAAAGACCTTGACAAATTGGAGGACTGGACCAAAAGAAATCTCATGAGGTTCAGTTAGGACATGTGCAAAGTCCTGCACTTAAGATGGAAAAATCCCACCAGTACAGGCTTAGGATCAACTAGCTAGGCAGCAGCTCTGCAGAAAGCAACCTAGAGCTTAGTGTGCCCTTGTAGCCAAAGCGGCTAACAGCATCCTGGGCTGCATTGGTAGAAGCGTTGCCAGCAGATGGAGGGAAGTGATTCTTCCCCTTGACTCTGCACTGGTGAGGCCACATCTGGAGTCCCATGTCCAGTTTTGGGCCCCCCACTACCAGAGGAAGGCAATGAAAATTGTTAGGGGGCTGGGACATGCGACTTCTGAGAGGCTGTCCGGCTGTGACAAACCATCTCTCTCTGAGTGACATCTCCTGTGTAAGCCAGAATGACAGAGCAGAGGGCTCAAGGCCTCTAACTCCAAATGGTTTCATTTCCAATTAGCCAGAGTTTCCAGTGAACCTGTCTAGGTGTGTGTGTAGCTGCAGCATCCTGTAGTTTTTCCTAAAACAACCCTCTCTCTCTCTGGTACTCTAGGCAGCCTTGCCAGATCCTACCAGTACTCCAGCCTTGGCTTCTCCCACTTCTTCAGGCCACCACCCTTCCAGCAGAGGACTGGACAGCAGCACTGCCCCATACTCAGCTGCAGGGATCACAGTGACATGGTGCAAAACTGGCTCTCCCCACTTATAATTTGAACATGCTGGCTCTGCAGTGCTCCTAGGCAGCATGTCTCAGACATGTGGCAAAACATCCAGGGTTTTGTGGACCATATAACAGGCTCCTCCTTCCTTCCCTACCTGGGTGATATTTTACTGCCATCTGCTTCCTCCTCAGCTGTGCACAGCAGAGCTTCCAAGGGCCCCTTACACTTCTGCTCCCAATGCAACCAGGTCTGCATTGCAGGCCAGCTGTGCCATGGAAGAGAACGGAGCTGGCAACAGCTGGAACAGTATCCAGCTCGGGGGAGTGTTTTGACAGTCTCAGTTCTCAATGCCAGTAAGAACTCACCAAGGGGTCTGGGAGGCTAACTTCATTAACGCACATAGAATCAGAGAAAATGAGGGCGGAAGGGACCTCAGGAGGTCACATCTAGTCCAACGCCCTGCTCAAAGCAGGATCAGCCCCAACTACATCATCCCAGCCAAGGCTTTGTCTACCCGGGTCTTCAAAGCCTCCAAGGATGGAGAGTCCACAACCTCTCTGGGTAGCCTGTTCCAGTGCTTCACCACCCTCCTAGTGAGAGTTTTTCCTAATATCCAATCTAAACGTCACCTTGTTGTCATCTGCCATGTCACATTATATGACGGAGGCACGTCACGAGCACTCCACTCCATCCCTGCCAGCAGTTATGTGCTTAAGTACGTGTGCTGTACTTCCCAGTCTGTAGACACCTGACACCCTTTGAAATCTAACAACAGGTACACACCAGACATTTTTTTTAACTTTGTAAAAAAAAAAAATATCAGAACAGGCCAGCCTTTTGAAGAAAGTCAGAAAACGGTGAAAGCTTTGCAGAACAACAAGGACTGTCCCGTATAAACTAAAACCACTGGCACATGGGGTTTCATTCTGTAGCTGAGAGTAACTGGCAAAAGTCATTAAAGCTGTGGCTTTGAAAAAAATCAATTCAACCAGTTTGTATCCTTCCAATGTGAAGGAAGGGGGCTGTGAGAACTGGCAAAAGATTACCAAGTGAAAGGACAGTCACAAAAATTAACGGCAGTGTTACAAAGCCTGAAAAAGCAAGTTCTACCCAGGAAAGGGGCTCGAAAGAAAGCAACATAGGGCTCCATGCTGACGTCCTCTCTGCCTCCGGACTGGCTGTGCTCACTCTGGCTGCTAGCGCCACCGACTCCCCAGGCATCCAAAAGCCAAGCTGAGTTTCTGGCTCAAGTATTGCCAGCAGTAGCAAAATGTGCTACTCTTGCAGATGCATGTGTTAAACAACCACCCAGCTCACTCTGTCTCCATGGTCCTGGCTCTCTTGGGCTAGAGAGGATGAAAAGCAGTAACAAGCTATTGTGGTCAGTAAATGTTGGCAGCTCTGGCTGTTTATCCATAAGGAGCCGATATCAACTAGAGGGTGCCATTTTTGCATAGTCGCTTGTGAGCAGAGTCACAGCTTCACAAATGTCGGTGTAAAGAAGAAAGTGCAATTAGCACAGACCAACACTGCACCAGAGACAGTCTTGCTCAGACCCTTTTTAGCTATGCACTAGGTTTGGTCAACAACCCAGAAGGGGCTAAGCTATGTTTAAACTGGTTCAGGTAATACTATTCTTAGCTTACTGCTAAGAAAAGAGAAAAGAACTGAAAGAGTTCTAGGAACCCAACAGGCATCTTGCATGTGAAAGGAAAAGCCCAAGTACTTAAAATTCGAAGGGCAAACCTGTGTCATTGAATCAAAAGCCATCAATTCCCAGAGCTGTTTTCTCCACTTCCATCGCCCTGAAGCCCCAAATGACAAACACAAAGCCAGGTTCTTTGGGATTCGGGTTAAAAAGGTCAGTATTTGGACTACGTATGTGAATGAGCATCTTGTGGGGAAATGTCAAACGTCCTCTGTGTTGCTTTCCAGCTCAGTACATTTCCCAGGCAGTAATGCAATACCACTGTGTACACTGCAAAGCTGGAAATAGCGAGAGGAGTCAAATTCGCCCCTGGTGTAACCTGAGCAATGCCGATGGAGTAATCCCACCAGATGCAAGTCTGGCCCGTGCTTACACTTGCCTTCAAGGCATTATCTGATCAGCCTTTCATGGCACTGTCAGAGAGAAGTGATGCTGCGTGTCACCTATTCGAGGACTTTGTTCATTTAAAAAGATGGCAGAAATTATCCTCCAAAACATGGAGGAAATAAACACGATTCACCCCAGAGCCAAAAGCATTGCATCTCTTTGTTGGATAAGATGAGACTGTACAAGACCAGCTTCGGTGCGGGCGGCCTGTGAGCCCTTCGATGTTTTTGTCACCGTTTCTATCCCAATTTTCGGCTGCGTATCTCAAAGAATGAGAAGGGAGATCCATGTGGGGCAGTTCTCACCCTGCGATTGGCCTTTCTCCTTGTCTCCCTGCCTTTGCGCCCCCAAAGCCCTGTTCTGGTCCACCAGTCACTTGGAATGGTCAACAACCGTCACACTCCACCGCTGACCATTGTCCCCCGGCAAAGGTGGGAGGTTTCAAATCCATCCCTCCACGGACAAGCAAACAACGGGGCCCGTTGCTGCTCGGACATCAAAGTTAAACAAACAGCCTCGCATCCCCCGCCTCTCTGCCCATCTGAAGGGGCAACCCGAGGAGGTCGCGACTTTCAGCTTGTCATGGCACACATCAAAGTTCGCACCACACACGAACTCGGCACACGGGTTCGAATTGTGGCGTCCGAGAGCGGATATTCAGCTTTTGTGCCCCTCTTTAATCCTGTGTTTTCCCAAGTAATTAAGCCTTTTTGCTTATGAACTTGTGACTAAGTAAAGCAGCCCCGGAGAGGTTGTAACATCAAAGCGCGCTCGGCCGTCTGTACCACGTTGGCTAAAATTGGATTTCTCTCCCTCCCTTGTATTTTTAAATAAAAACTAATTGAATTTAGTTGTAGACTGAATCTATTGAAGAGTGCCTTTAAAGGTTACCAGAAGCCACAGCGATCATCATGGGAACTGAAGAGGTTGGGTGCATCACTCAGCCTTCTTGGTTCAGAAAACACAGCATGAAAGCCAGTGGTTGGGGAGAAGCAGTCGCTCTTCCAGGGGCTGCTCAAGACTTCTGCTGAGTTCCTAATACTGCAGTACCTGCAACAATGCCATCCCTGGGCTGGGATCTCAGCAACTCTCAAGGTAAACAGGGGAAGGCCTGGCCAGATGGGAGTCCTCCCAAAGAAACTCAGCGCAGGGGTACAAAGTGGTGTGGGTAATTTACTGCTCAGTGTTCCTCCCTCCAAGCCTGCAGACCAGGTGGGTCAGTTGAAATTACATATATAGGTGAATGAAGAACACAAACATATCGTCTCAGAGACTTAACTAGCAGCCACATCCAGGGACAGGAAGCAAAGAGGCAGTCTTCAAGTGAGCTCCATCTCAATGGAGTCCATGTGATTTATCAAAGGGAAAAAAACCATGCAGTGACTTACCTGCTACGGTGGGACACGCTTACCTAGAATTTCTGTTGATGGCTGCTACCATGAGCGGGGTCCAGCCGAGCTTGTGCCTGGCATTCATATCTGCGCCCTCTGACAACAACCTGTTTGTAAAAGGACACGGCTTCAGTAAGAACATTTTTGCCTTCGACCGGGACTGCTCAGCCCCCAGCCTGCGAGCCAGATCTAGTCCCTGGCACTGGGTCATCTGGCTTGTGAAACTCCCCAGGGGTTCCTGGAGAGCCCCACAGGCTGTGGCCCTGTGGACTAGATCAGGTATGCAGGGCGGTGTGGGGCCCAATCCCGCAGGTGGAGGGTAGGGGATGCAGAGCCCAACCCTGGTGCACAGAGCCAGGCAGAGGTGGCATGGGGCCCCAGGGCCTGATCCCAGCAGTGGTGAGGCTCTGGCACCTGATCCTGGTATGCCCAGGGAGTGTGAGGCCCAATCCTGGCACACAGCCCTGGGGCCTTATCCCAGAGCAGGGGTTTGGGAAGAGACAGTGCAAGGGCCTGATCCAGTGTGCAGGACCTGATCCGGCCTGTGGATCAGACCAGTGTCTTTCACCTGGCCTGCAGGGCCAAAACCTTGAGCACCACTGCAGGGTGCAGCACTGAATTGGGGCTGGAAAGAGAATCCAAACTCTTTTGCTTCGACGTTGCTGGTTCCAACACAGGCCAGAGCAGTAGCACCCAACACAGAGCCACAGCTCTTCAGTAGCCACTATGAAAGGAACTGGCCCAGTTCCTAGTGGGCAGGAGCCCCTGCTGTAACTAGCAGGCCTGAATGTGTTATGGTTGCCCGTCAGCCTGAAGTCCTAGCAATCCATCAGTATGCTGGAGGCGGTAGGGAAGCTCACTGGCACATCTTCTGATGGACAACACAGGACTCTTTAAGCTGAGGAACAGCCATAAAAGGTATAACCTGCACAGAGACATTAAACACACAGCTGTGCTCTTTCAGTAATGATCTCCCACTCCTTCTGGGCCACAGTCCTAACCACTCCTTGTACCCAAGAGGCTTCTTCTTGCCTGGCTGTAGCTGGGTTTATGGGTCTCCTCCACATCCACAAACACTGAAGGAGTTTGCTCATCTACCCCTTCCCTTGATCCTATAACCCAGGCATTATTAACCTGGACTGATTCCAGGTGGTACCTTTAAGAAGAAGGCTCTTCCAAAGTGTTGAACAAGGGCATGGACAACCTAATTACAGCAGGATAAAAGGAGGTGGAAGCTAACCATGTGTCAGCTAGGGTGAGGCCCCATGCACATGCTCTCAACTTGCAGTAAGCAGAAGCTAAATGGAAGCAGTTTAGCCACTCAATGAAACAGAGCTAAGTTGTCCCAGGTTAGCCTCCACTTACCCTTGGTTGAAAGCAGACACATGGACTGCTATTGTGGGAATAGCTGACACACGCTAGGTTCCCTTTCCCTTTTAATTTGTCCACTTGTCCATAGTTTGGACAGAGCCAATACAGTCGAGACTTTTGAATTCGATTCCATCCCTCTATCCCGTTGCATAGAACGGATGCACCAACATTCACGGAGGGACGTACACCACGATCTTGAAGGTGCTCAGGATCTAGGAGGAGGCCTGAGAGCCTGCAAGTCAGATGGTAATTCCTTGTGGCTTGAAAGAGTCACCTGGCAGCGCATTTCCTTCCTGCAAAATCCAGGCTTCTCTGCTCTACGCCCTTCGAAGCCCCCCTACTGTTAGTTCAAATTGAAAGCCAACAGGTCACAGACAGCACTAAGCACCAAGAACAACACAGGCCAAATTTCACCAGTGCAGACACCTACACCCATATTTCTGACCATATACATGGTCAATTTTACAATCAGAGTCAATGGCAACTGCCACTGCTCAGATCCTCTGAGAAATCACACTAGTTACTTAGGGGTATCAACGGGGACTTGTGTTCAACTTTGGCCCCCCTTTCCAAATATGGTTGCCTAAGGACTCTGAAAGAACAATTAAATGAAGAACATCT